GTTTTGAAGCAAAAAACATGTCAATGTTCTCTTTAACACCTTCCACATTTGCATACATTTTCCCATTAAGATGATGTTTCAGCAAGCGAAAAAGATGATAATCTGATGGTGCTATATCTGGAGAAATTGGTGGGTGGGGAAGAACTTCCCAACCTAACTCCATAATCTTGTGTTGCATCAAATGTACCACATGTGGATATGCATTGTCATGGAGAAGAAGAACACCTTTCTGATTGATGAGTGAAGGGCGTTTCTGATGAAGGACTTGATTTAAATGTTCCAGTTGCTGACTATAGATCTCTGCATTGACAGTTCACTGTGGATTGAGGAGTTCGATATGAATTACTCCTTTGATATCCCACCAAATGTAAAACATCACTTTCTACAAATGGAGTCCAGGTTTTGGGTTGGAAGTGGTTTTTGTCTAGGACTGAGCCATTGTTTTAGCATTTAATATTCACATAGAGAATCCATTTTTCATCACTGGTGACAATTCTGTCCAAATTTGGTTCACGACCATTACGCACCAGAAGAGACGAAGCAACGTTCACATGTTGGAAGTGATGATCATCAGAGAGTTCATGAGGCACCCAAACACCTTCTTTATGGAGTTTTTCCCATATTCCTTAGAAGTTTACATATTGTTTCATGAGAGACATGCAATTTCAGGGTCATTTCAAGAGTGTGTTGCCTTGGGTTAGATTCAACAAGAGTGTCCAGAGCATCAATATCAATTCCGACATGTTGGCCCCTGCCATCACAGTTTTTAAGGCTAAAGTTACCTGAACAAAATTTGCTGAACCATCGTTGACACTTATGAATGTTCAATACATTTCTTTAAACTTCTTTGATATTCTTTGAGGCTACAGAGGCGTTGTTTCCCTTCTTGTATTCAAACAGCAATACATGCCGAATGTGTGTCTCGTCGTGTACCCTCACTATAAGGGATTAGAGAATATTAAACTTTACACATTATATAGACTACACTAACGTGACGTTTAGACAGTTTGTTTATTATGTGATAAAGGTTTTTTATGGGGTGGTTAATGAGTGTTCAAAAATGCAACATTAATTTCTTGACAACCTAATACTTCATCTTCAGTAATACATAATTTCAGGACAAATAGAAAATAATACAATATTTAATATGTATACCATCTTGTAATTACTTTAAAGTCTAATTATTGAATGATTAGCAAAGAAACTTTGTGAATTTGTTTACACTAGCACATATTCAAAATAATATAAAAAAACTGGAAATTAGATTGTTAATTAGATCTAGGGAATTAGTGGAATTTGACCATCGATTAACCACTAGGTTCATAAATCAATTACATTAAAGTTTTCTATTATTCTCACAAGAATTTTATAGTTGAAATAATCAAAAATAGTATTAATTAGAGCTGGGCAATTAGTGGTATTTATGTGATAAATTGTTGGGTTCATTTATTGTTATATATACATGACTGTTTCAGCTCAAGTTTAATGTGAGAATTATGAGGAGGAAACAGAGCTCTAATTCTAACCATCAACTGGAGAGCAAGCTCAAATTTTCAGTCCTTCTGTAACATTCAAACTTGCCATTTACAATATTTGATTAAAACCAAATATATGAAGTGATTTAAGCAATACTTGTTAATTATAATTTTAGGTTCAAATACACATATTCTATTTCATTTCATTATCCTTACAATATACACTTATACAAACATCTTTCTTCAATATGTATTGGATAAGGATTCCTGTTCAAAAAGCATACAAACATCGAAATTGTTACTCCTCACATTAACCTTCTTCAAACTATTACAACTTTGTCAGCATTAGCTAAAAGAAATTATTATTATAACTACATTACTAAATACACTTGTTCTGTCAAAAGTAAATGTTGTCACTATTCCCCAGGAAGGAAATTGTAAAAGTTCTTAATATACAAATTACCTCAGTCTTTCTTATCAATTCAGCATATTTCTTTTCATGTCCCTCTTCTGCTATAACTGACTCATGGACAGCATGTAAAGTTCCTTTTTCTATAGAAGAAACTACCCCAGTTGCTAGAGGTATCAGCATTATATTTCTATCTGCAAATGTATATATGATGATGATTTCAACATCACTACATTATAATAAAAATCCTTGTTATAAAATGTTGCAGGGTGTAGCTAAATCAATTATTTTAACCAAGCAAAAGTACATTTCTTCAAAACCAATCTTAAAAAAATGAAATGCAGAGACATTATTATTAAAGGTGTGACAATTAATCACAAACTAATCGATAATTAACCTAATCAGCTAAGGTGATTATCAAGTGGAAATAAGCATTGATTACTATGAAAATGAATAGATAAGAAACTGAGATTCTCTAATTCAAAAGATAACCAGAAAAGTAAAATATAATTTATGCAATAGCATTAAATTTATATTAAAATGCATAATAATTATGGACCATGTAAATTTAAAGATTGATGAAGCAATGCAATAGTAATACTCTTTAAATAATTTCACTGTTATGGTAGCCAGTTTTCCAACAAATGAATTGGTAGGAGGAAAAATCTGACTGTTTGAATGGTTTTGTTGAACTTTAGCTTTTTATTAATACTGTACTTTCTGGTTTATTTTCAAAGGCCATAGCATTTTTTTCCCAAAATCAATTTTTTTACTAGTAGTTCAACAAGTGTTCTACATTAAAATAAGGAATAGATAAATAACACACAACATTAAAATAGATATACAATTAAAAACATTTTTAATTCAGGCCAATCTGTGGACTCTAAAACATTGACTCTACATGTTTCAACATTTACTACATTATCATCAGGACTGAACTTGCAAGACATAACCATCACATTTATTCCTTCTTAGCTAGGTCATGTGACTTGTGTGTAAGTTTACTATTCTACATAAATCTCAGAGGAGCTCCTGCTACATTCTTACACAGATATTTGCCAGACTTTTAATCTCTATTTAATAAATTCATGATTTTTTAACTCTTAATTCTTTCTATTATTTGCCCTAATACCCTTTGGTTGAGTCATTATAACTGTTTTTTTTCACATAATATCTTATGCTGTGTTCTTTATACATGTTCTGCTATGGCCAAATCTTTAGTCCTTTCATTCTTTACACATCCCTTATGTTCTACTAAATGATATTTTAAGTTTTGTCTGTCCAATATAAACTTCCACATTCACATTCAATTTTATAAGTTCCAGCTTTTTCCATTAACTGTATATTATCTTTAATATTACCTAAAATTTGTTTTATCTTGTTTAAATATAGAGTAAAATATTTGTTGCTTTTTAAATATTTTGAATATTCTTTTTTAACTTTATCATAACTAGTTTTTAAGTGAATTTCTTAACTGCTCTATCTACGACAACTGGGTCAAATTCTCTTTCAACTGCTATATATTTCATTAGTAACAACTCATTTTGTAAGTCCTCTTGTTTTGTATATATCTTCAGAATTCTATGAACATGGATTGGCACAAATTTAAAATGTCTTTAACCATTTATCTCTTTTAATGTTGTGTGTTATTTATTCATTATTTTAACATTATACACAAGTGCCAAGAAAATAATATCTAAGTGTTCTACATTTAACTGATACTTCAGTAATAAATTTGGACTATAAATGCATTGTAACATCTACACACTTCCATTTCCTCAATCAAATCACTACATCAATACTAAATAGTCCATACTAAGATGTGTAAAAATAAACATAATACACAACATAGTAAATATTATATTATTTTCTTATTTCTGTCTATAATCCTTTACCTTTTTCTTAGATTACAGGCATTAAAGCACTCTTCATCCAAGGTGGTACAAATTATTCCTGGTCATATAATCCAGTAAATCTGACTCCAAATAAATTGCAATAGAATATATTTTGGTATGGTTGTTTTAGAAAAAGCATGCCTTTAACATATAAAAAGTTCTAAGAAATTTCAGTGATGGAACATACAAATGTAGAGGAAAACTGTAAATGCATAAAAAATTTTATTTTCTTCACTGGAGCTCATCTGTTTTGTTTTATGAAAATCTAGACCATATTAAAGTGTTAGGTTGGTCTTTGGGGTGTATGAGCATTTTTGGGGGCAATAATTCAAAATAATAGTAAAATGACCTGAAAAAATGGATATTTCATAAAATGTTGAAGAATGGAATTAATTATAGACAGTATTCTTTTTATTATGGTTTGAATGTTGAATTTTAATGTTATACATGAATTTCTATTCAGATGTCATCCCTTCCAGACATTTTTTTTTTTCAGTTTTAAAATGAATGAAAATGAACAAATTTTTTCAATTTGAAGTTAACATTTTCCTAAATTGAAAATGTATTTCCAATAATACTTTCATTGACATTTATAGCTATTACTCAAACTCCAGGGTTTCAACTTTGCCCATTTAGGCATTTGTCTGATTTTTTCTTGCTTGGTTCAATCTTTTGTACTCCACTCAATTGCCCTTGTGATTTTTGTCTCCACCTACATCAATGTGCCCTATATCCTGGTACTGTATACAAGTGCCTCATTCAGATAATTTTATCACTTTTTCGAGACTGATACCATCCTAATCTCTAACACCGGCTTTTAGTGGGGAGGAAGGGCGAGAGAGTGTCAGTGGAGGTAAGTGTTGTTGGAAATACATTTTCAATTCAGGAAAATGTTAACTTCCAAAACATACTTACCTACACTGCTACTTATAGCTAGAATGCTACATTGAGAAGGTGGATGGGCCGGTGAGGGCATTATGCATACAGAAAGCATTTGCATAAATTAAGGGTGTACTAAGATAAGAACTACATCAAGATCAGGTATGCTCTTCATCCTGAACTTAGTTCCTGTATCAAGGGTGGAATAGTACACAAGTAATCATCACTATAGGCCAGCCCCAACCAGATAGCGAGGTTCCACAACTTGGGGTTGGAATTAAGAGGTCTTGATCCCTATATCCCACATTATAATGCTATAATGTCTCAATTTTTAGTTTTCCGACGAAGTAAGCTCTATTCAATATTTTTCTATTAATTTTGCATCAAATATGGACTGCAACATTATATATAGATATACTTTTGATTGAATCCCAACCTATAGCCACAGAGTGATGCATTCTGAACCACCAGAATCATGACGAAAAATTAAGCAACACCGAAAAGGACAAACTTTCTCTTCCACCTGAAGAAGCCTGAAAGGCAAAACCCAGATTCGGAATGACTGGATTGTGTATGCCTTACTCATCCAAAGGAATAAAACTCATCTGGTCTGGAATTATGAACATTCATCCTCATTCCCCAACCGAGTGGGCAAGAAGCCTATCACTGGCCTCCTGGAATTATGAAGAGGACATGGAACACTGTGCTCAACAAAGGACCCAGGATGGGACCACTCCAAGTTTGGAATTATGAGGAGATAGTTGACCTCTTTCCATGAACAATATACTAAACCAATATTGATCAAAAGAAGGGCCATGCACATGCCAACCAGATAGCTGAGCATCAAATCTGAATCGGTATTATGAGTAGGCTCCCGCACAGGCTGGTGCCGCTCCTACCGATATCTGGGAAAAACATCCAGGGACCTGGGTAGGAGGGCTCCCAACTTCACCCTCTTTTTCAAGAGTGGAGGAAATCACTCGCACACTCTGGAGGAAAGGTGATACATGGTATATGGGCTAAAGGTCAATTGGATGTCAAGACAAAGCATGTAATACCACCTTAATAACCCAGTTGGGAAATGGAAAAGGCTGTGTGGGACGGACTCTAAATGATTTGAAGAGGCCGGAGAGCACTGGGGATTCAAATACTTTCCAATGTTTAGAACATCAAAAAGTAGTCGATAAAGTTATTTCACTTCCTTAACCTATAGAAACTCATAAATGAATATCAAATGCTTTTTTCAGTAAAGCTTTATATTTTTTCTGTTATATATTTCGCTATCCTAGCACTAATCATAGAAAAATCAGCAATTTAGAGTAAAATGCAATGTTGGAAAATATGAAATAAATCTATGTTACCCTGTTTTCTTTCTAGAATGACAGCATATCATAACAGACAATCAAACATTATTTATTCTTAAAGCCAAAGTTAATAGACTTTTCAAATCTGGGTTCAATGAGCTTTATTGAGCTGCACTTGGACACACTCAGAATACAATGATAGCCATTTATCACAGCCAGATAGCTTTGTGTAAATAAAAAGTCAAGTTACAAGCACAAATGGTCAAATTATAATCACATCTCACAATGTATGTGTGTGTGCTATTATAGAATATCACAAGTAATTATATTTAAGTTTCCTAATTTAACCTATTAAGTTTCTAATTTTTATATTTTAATTACTTTTATAACAGTATGTAAAAAGAAATACATAAAAAACAAGAAATTTAGTACTTACATCTAAACGTTTTGCCTTTTTACTGCCTCATAAACCTATTTTTTTATTTCAAACATGCATCTGAAAACACAAAATATTATCACACAAAAAATAATGTCCCAAAACTACCAAAATTTAACTAGCTTTCTAACTAAGCTATAAATGGCTTAAAAAATTCCAGCTAGCCCAGCTGAACACTACAAGGGCTGAAATGGACTTACACAAAACACCACTGCAACTAAAGTTTAACAGAAAAAGAATTTATTAAACTGTAACAACAACATCCAAAAAAAAAAAAACACTGTCAAACAATTTGAGTACAAATGTTATCACTGACAAACAAAATAATAATAATAAATCCATGCCTGGTCAGGACTTGCTCCAAATGTTAATACACAATATAATATAAATATCAATGTTATTAATATCATTAAAAAAGAAATTAGGTAAAAGAACCAAAAGAAGGAAAGCTAATTCCAAAAAAATACAATATTTCAAAATTAAACCACTTCTCAAGATCAATAACAATACCATACAACAATCAACAATAATTCATTCTAACTATATTTTGGGAACTCACTCGTTTAAGATCATGGATGGGTTTCATTTAGTGGTTAGGTCACCAGGTAACATCTCTTATGGCTAACAAATTTACATAATCTTTCACAACATTAATATCTGAACATCAACACTAAGGGAAGCTTGTATCAGTTTCATAAAACAAACATACTCAAATGCAACGTGCTCTAGCTACAATGTCAGTTAGCACTTTAATTCAACTAAAAATTCATAGTTGAACTAAACAATAGAAGAAATAATATATGAATGGCAAACAAAACCATAACAAAATAAAAGTAGAATTTGCTATCTCACAGGGAAAAGAATGAAACAGGCCAAATACTTTCCAACCTGGTACCTGAATGAATTAGTCTTATAATGAACTTAATAAATTGGAATCTTCTCTTTCTATTGGTTATAAATAATCCAATAGCAAATGTTAATGGGAAGTATTGATATTTATTGAAAGACAGGATGTGATATGAGGGGCACAATACATGGGTTTGACTTTCTCAGTAAAGCAAGAATTTTGGAGGCTATACATTTACCGTATTTTTCGGTGTATAAGACACACTTTTTTACCCCAAAATTTTATGTCAAAATCTGCTTGCATCCTATACACCGAAGGTATGAATAATATATATATGATATACACAAGCCATGTGTAAAGATATTTAAATAGGCATGCATAGTTTAGTTCAATTGAATGTGTTATTTATAACAATAGTAGTTTTTTTCTCTTTTAAAAACATAACCATTTATAATGCTCCCTAAATAATAAAAAATAAATTACAGTGAAAGCAATGAAGATTTTGTAGGTTTGAACTAAACTAAATAACAGTAAACCTTTTTTTTTTGATTTACGGTATTTTCTTATTTTGATGTTTAGAATATATATACTAATTTTTAAAGTATTAAATTAAATTTTTGTTCAATTAAAATCTTTCAAATGCGACTGTAGCTTTTGTTTACCTAAAACTTTGTCTTCAAAATAAGGGTGCGTCTTATACACCAGTGCGTCTTATATTCCAAAAAATACGGTACATTATGGCTTGGCAATATCTATGCTATAAGTGTGTAATTTGTGCCAAATTCAGAATATCATATGGTGGTAGAAAGAAACTCTAAAGAAGTGTCAAGTGATACAAAAATGAATGACAGTTTATTTAAATATTTTCTTTTGAAATTAAGAAATTGAAACTAATACCATCAATTGCTCAGCTGTAGTATCTTTACCACTAGCAATAAAAAACTGCTTAGACAAACCCAACTCATCCACAAATAAACCAAGATCTTTTATTTTCAGTCATGCTATTATGTGTGTTCTTGTCTATATTAAACACGAACCAAATGATAGTTTTTTTATGCAAAAATTTTATAATTGTAAGTGTTTAAGAGATATAACAATGTTTAATGGTTTGGCACATTCTTAGGCTAAACATTAAACAAGAAAATGCATGATGTTACTATTGTTAAACATCTATGTGTCAGGAGAAATGATGGCTTTATTCAACATGAAATGGATTTTCAATCAGCAGTGAAGAATATGGAATGTTAAAAAAGCCAACATATACTATAATGATGAAGATAGTTAGCAAGAACACAAAAGATTTAAGTCAGAATATATATATATATATATATATATATATTTACTTACTACTAGGTGATGTTATACTTTTCTCTTGACTTTCCATCAGTTTGATATCCAACACAGCATTCTGCTCTTTATCAAAAATGGGTTCAACTTTTATTTCTAAAATTTCCATTGTTGCATCATTGACACTTGTTTCATTCTCAAATAAATCCTATGTTAAACCTAAAAACAAAAAACATATCTTTCTCAAAAAGTATTAACATCAAATTTTCAAATATAAACTCAAAATTGGGTATGCTAAAATGAATGTTACTAATTTTTCTACTAATATAAATAAAATAACTGTATATCTCCAGAATGTATTTTTCTTAGCTCAATATTTGACTACTAGCTGGAGTACCCGTCAGTTGGACAGGTGAAATAAATACTTGTTTGTAATAAAGGATAGGAAATTATGCTTCTATTTTTTTTCCTTATCATAATAAACATTAAAAGTGCAATAAAATACAAAAAATACCAAGACTGAAAAGAAAGAATTCTATCAATATGAAATTAGATGGGGGGGGATCCAATGTCCTTCCTAAGGTAAGGAGCAGAATACTCAACACAATACTCCAAATGTGGCCTATACAATGAAATTATAACCTCTTTTAAAACACTTAAACATTTTATAAATATTAGAATATGTTTTTGCTTTAGGAAGTCAACATAAAGTAGCAAGGTGAATGATAGAGTGTAGACCTCATTCTACACACAGAATGATAAATGACAGAAGGTCAATGTAAATTGAAATTTAGTTACAACATCATCTATAATAATACTAATATTCAGTGAGCTGTGTGTGGAACGTAACTCACTAACTGAATAATGCTGCTCTATCTAATTTGGCCTCAGAAGTAATTATATTGAATTTAAAACACTAATACTAAAATATAAAGTACGTGTACATAAGTTATTTTTCAAACAACCACTACTAATAATAACACTCAATGATTTAACATAAATATTTGATTTTTCACCAAGCTGGTGTGGAACAGCAATGCTCACTCACTAAGACTAGTACTAGTAAGACTAAGAGTCAGAGAGGAGAAATATATTGGTAGACTTAAAACTTAAACAAGTCGTCCTTTATTATTTATGTTGTACTATATATTTTGTTTAACCCACCATCATGCCCCAAGTTGAACAAAAAACGCGGCCTGGCTAACTAATGAATGAATATTTGCTGTAAAAAATTCTTATCAAATTCAAACTCAAAACTATAACTTATAAGTGTAGCTACCAGTTTGGCCGCCAATTTTGATTTCATTCCTTTAAAAGTTTAAGTCACACGCTCAATCCTTTTTTGGTTGCAACTTTTTTTCACACTTTAGGTATTTTTGATTAGATTAGTATTGCCGTAAGTACAAATGAGCCTAGCCCGACCTGGGCTAAACTACACTGATGTTAGGCTTATCGTTCTTTAATATCTGCCTACAACAGAAGAAAAATATTTTTAATATAGTGTAAAATATATCTTCATCATATACACACACTTAGCTGTTGTCTTGTTGCAAACTAATGCACGAATCATCAGAAGAACTAACACTAATTATATTCTAATATAAAACTTACTATGCTCTTAAATTTCATTACAACGTTCGGATATCACTGTTACTCAACTTACTTTTACTAACAGTAACAAGGTTCGACACACAAACAAAACAAAATTTATCCAAAGCAATATTTCCAAAATAATTATGCTAAATCATTAAATGACTAACGTGGTAAAAATATATTATTTATAACTGATGTTTTAGAAAAAATCTTCATGTATTATTTGTAGAGCATCAAATATGCCTTTAACTTAGTTTAATAAACATAAAAACTAGTAATACGAATAGATACAAAAATATATCTATCATTCGATTCCCAATTTGTCATTAAGTTATGGAATGTTTTGCCTTAGAAAGCCTTATAATTGGAAAGTCGGTGGAAGATACTGATCATGAATTAATACCAAATCTCGTGTAATTTAATCGCAATGTAAGATGAAATAAAGATACGGGACACAATGCAAAATGAACAATCTTTATCATCACATTAGCACCAAAACGTGTGCACACTTGCTTCTCCTTTCGCATAAGCACCGTGTAAAAATCACTCTAAATACCTCTCACCAATAAATCTAGTAAACTTGTTGTACCTACGACCACCTACTACTGGGAAACAGGTAGCTAAATATAGTGTTTGTTTTATAAAGGATATTTATGTAAAAATTAAATTTGTAAGTAAACAATACTATATGTTTAAAGTGAACAATGAAATGTGAAATACTTGCCAGTAAAAAATCTGCCTTTTACACCCATGAACATAGCTTGAAAAGGACCACTTGTGTGTTCAACACCTACGGACAATCGCGGCATGTAAACATAGGTTTTCCTAGCTAGTAAATAGTATAACCTTCATTTGACAGATCCAAGCAATTAAACAACAGCCAAAGAGGGAGGTAGAGGTACAGTGTGTACCTAATTCTCCCGGGTCTCATGACCAAATTACGACCAGAGAGGGAGAAGTCCACCATTGCACTTAGCTCTCTCAGGTTTTAGACCAGACTTAAATCCCGAAAATGTCACTACTTATGTTGATGAGGTTAAAGGTATATATTTCGTACGCACAGCCTGTGGAATAGATTGTCTTCAGATGTCGCAAACGCAACGGAATATCGAGAGTTCAAAAGAAGGCTGGATGAGTACTCGTGGATTAAGAAATAGATATAAGTAGATAGGTTTGTTTGTAGTTAAGCACAAAGCTACACAATGGACTATCTGTGCTGTGCCAACCACGAATATCAAAACCCCGTTGCTAGCATTATAAGTCCACGAACTTACTGCTGTGCCAATGGAAGGGGCACACAGGTAGGTGCTGGAATGAATGATACAAACATGATGGGCCAAGAGGCCTTTGTTGTCCTTCAGTGTATATATTACGTTGTCTCCCGGTGGCTCAGCGGTATGTCTAAGGGCTTATAATACTAAATATCGGATTTTGGTACTCCCTATGGGCACAGCACAGGTAGTCCATGGTGTTGCTTTGTATTTAATACTAAACAAATAGAAATATATTATGTTAAAAATATATTTTAAAAACTAATACTCAATTGTTATAAAACAATTAAATAAAAAACAAATAAACTCTCCTTTAAACACAAGTTGATTAAGTTAATATAAAAATCTAAACTATAAAATAGTTCATCTGAAGAAAACACAACAACTGAAAATGAAGAATCTCAAACATTTTGCTTCAAGTTCAATTTATAAAAACATTTAACTCCCAGGGTCGATTCTTGAGGAGGCCTGGCATAGCAAAGTGGTTAAGACTTTCGACTCACAATGTGGAGGTTGTGGGTTGAATTTCCATTCCACCAAACATACCATAGCTGCATTATGATGTTGCAGTCAATACCACTATTCGTCGGTAAAAGAGTAGCCCAAGAGTTGGCAGTTGGTAGAGATGACTAGCTGTCTGTCAGATTTAAAAGACTGTTTAGTGTATGTTGTATTAATTTATTTATTTTGTGAGTTAATATTTTATGATTGTATAGTTTTTCATAATAAGAGAGTTAAAAGCAGACGATTATCGGAAGTTGTGTTTGTAAGTTATTGATGTTGAGGCTACAGAGATTTCTATAATGCCTCAGTGAGAGATATAAATAGTGACGACCAGACGAGAGGCCAGAGCACGGGAAAAGAGCCAAAAGTAGAGCCAAGTGAAACAGTTTCAGTCAGAGAAAGGTTAGAAAACGTAAAGTTAACCATCTTAGGAGTGAATAGCCTAACGATTGATATGTTATAGTAAGATTAACAGTTTTCTGACATTTTAGGAGAATAATTTGTCTCGCCAGAGGGTGTTATAAAACAATTGAACCGGCCTGTGTGGACTTTTACAAAAAGAAGACGAGTATCAGAAGTTAAGGATACAACTGCAGTTACTCACGAGCCAGCATAAGTTAATTATGCACCGTTACTAATTTGATGAAAATTGAGAAAAATAGTTCGGCTTGTCAACTGAATTAACTTAAGCGGACTTTTGACAACAAAATGAGAACTGTATAGTATTTAAAGTACAACTATGATATACATAGACCTTTACTTTTGTATAGGATTTTGCTTATTTTTGTTTTAGCCAAAGATACACAATGTGTTATCTTCACACTATCCACTGTGGGGAATCAAATTTTAGCGTTGTAAGTCTGTAAAATTACCCCTGATTCGCCCTTGGGGACAAACGGTTATTTGTTTGATTTTAAGCATAATGCTACTCACCACGAGTACCGAAAACCGATTTTTTGCAATGTGATCTGTCAAAAGTTTGCTTTTATAAAATTATTTAAGAATATATATATGTGTGTGTGATGGGCTAAGGATTCTTCTACAATAGCTGTCTGTGACTTATTGGCGATATATTCCACGATAAATGAACAGCACGCACTCCGCTTGTTTTAAAATAATATATTCAAAATAAGTTAAATGTATGGACAAAAATTCTTTAAACTGAATAAATATAAGTTGTAAAAAGTTACACATAATTATGTCACTGAAAGAAATTAATTAATTATCAATGGATTTTAATACACGGTACAAAAAATCAGAAATGAATAATGGCTCTTCTAAAAAAACAATAGCAACAACTTTAATATGTAGGCATGTCATACGTTTTCTACCTGCTTTAGCGATATAAGATTTTAAACATTTTCCATTTAGTTAGTTTCTATGCAGTTTTTAGCATAAATACGTGGCCCAGAACGTCGTTGAAATTAACATATTCCACTTGATTTATTTTTTGGTCTCTTGAATAACAAGTGTGAGAGTATGTGTGGAGAGGGAAGTGGGGCAGTTTGTCAAACTTGCCCCAGGTGCAAAAATACTTAGTTTCGCCAATGATTATACCTAAAAAGATATCACAGTAGCATATAACATCCAGGTTGAAAGGATTAGCATCATTGTATCCTTTGCTGGCCCAAGTTGACAATTGTCTAGGTGCTTACCAATGGTGTGAGAGAATAAAGGTAATGAGATGATCCCATCAACTGGACAAAGAAACGAGCTTACCTGTTGAATATAATTGCAATTTTTTAGTTCACTTTCACTTGACCTTCTTTGTGATTAGTTCAGCAGAGACTTATCTGTGAGACATAAAGCTGATGAGCTAGTTATTCATTAATCCAGTAAA